TGAGAGGAATAATCCTTGAGGATGTTGCTGTACTTGAATGCCAAGAAAGAGATTGATCTTCCCGAGCTGTTTGAGTGCAAAGGCTGAGTGAAGATCTTTGAGTAAGGATTGAATAGCAGCGTTGTTATTGCCTGTAAGAATAATATCATCGACGTATGTAAGAAAATAAATTTGTACGCTATTTTTAATGAATAGAAGAAGTGAAGGATCAGAGCGGCTAAACCGAAATCCACGATGTTGTAGAAAGTCAGTTAGCTTTTGAAACCATTGCCGCGGCGCTTGCTTTAGACCATAGAGCGATTTGTGGAGCTTGCACACCGCCGTTGGTTGATTTGGATCGACGAATCCTTGAGGTTGCTTCATGTAGATGTCCTCCAATAGATCTCCATGCAAAAAGGCATTGGAGACATCCAGTTGAAGAATTTCCCATTGACGATTGAGAGCAAGTGTTAGTAGCAATCGGATGGTTGGCATTTTGGCTACCGGACTGAACGTCTCGGTTTAGTTCTCTCCGAATTGTTGATTATTACCAAGTGCCACAAGTCTGGCCTTGTACCGATCCACTTTACCGGAGGGAAGAAGTTTGGTCTTAAATGTCCATTTGCATCCTAAAACAGGTTTGTTGGGTGGAAGTGATACAAGCGACCAAGTATGCTGATTTTGTAGTGCTTGTAGTTCCTCTGCCATAGCGTTTCGCCAGTGTGTATGTTTGACAGAGTTCTTGTAAGAAAGAGGGGACTGGTCATCGATCTGACCTGCTATGAGAGAGTAAATAGGATTCGGTTTATGAATTCCCGATTTCGATCTGGTTTGCATTGGATGCGGAATGTGATCGGGTATGACCGTGTGAGAAGCAGGTTCGGATGGGTGGACCGAAGTAGGAGAGGATTCAGAGTGAGAATTGTTGGGAGAATAGACAGAGGTATTTTGAGATAGCTGATTTGAAGTCGTGCAAGAAGTGTTATGATGAGTGACCGTGGAAGCCGGAACAAGAATGAGCGGTTAAGGGATGGAGCTGGTTCGTGTTGAAGTGGAAGAAGATGCCGAAGATGATTTGCTGAAGGGAAATATGTCCTCGTGAAAAACAACATGGCGGGATATGTGCATTTTATGATTGATCAAATTGTAGCAGATGTAACCTTTGTGAACAGCCGAATACCTAAGAAAGACACATTCAGTTGAGCGAGGAGAGAATTTGGTAGAAGTATAAGGTTGTAACCAGGGATAACACAAACAGCTGAAAATACGAAGATGAGTATAGGACGGTGTTGTGTTATAGATGATTTGATGAGGAGAAGCGTGAGAGGTGTGTTTGGAAGGAAGTCGATTAATTAAGTGTATTGCCGTGGAGACAGCTTCACTCCAAAACTGATCTGGAACACTTGATTCTTGTAATAAAGTGCGGGTCAATTCAAGAACGTGGCGATGTTTTCGTTCTGCAATTCCTTTTTGTTCGGGTGTATGCGGGCAGCTGACCCTTTGAACTATACCCTGTTCTTGCAAAAACGAAGTAAAAGATTGGTTAATAAACTCGCCACCTCCATCCAATTGAAAGGCTTTCGGCATTTTTCCAAATTGGTTTTGTACAAGAGTGCAAAACAATTTAAATTTAGAAAATGTTTCGCTTTTGTTGTGCATGAAATAAATCCATGAATGACGCGAGTGGTCATCTATAAAGATAACATAATAGCGAAATCCGTTAGTCGAGGGACACAGGGCCGGCCCCCATACATCGGAATGTATGAGTTCAAAAGGATAATTGGTAAACGAATTACTTTTATTAAAAGAAAGCCTATGGCTCTTGGCCTTATTACAGGAGTTACAAATCGTAATAGAAGAACAATTAAGAGAAGCAGGTATGTAACGAGCAAGAGATTGGAGAATCCGATAGTTCGGATGTCCAAGCCTTGCATGCCAGAGCGAAGTAGAATTGACTCGGGCTTGAAATGCAGTCGGTTGTCCTTCCGGTGCAGTGTGAATCTGATAGAGCCCGTTGCTAAGTCGACCATGGAGAAGCAGACGATGATCCTGAGAGTCTTTCATTTCAAAACCGTTAGCATGGAATGTAATGTAGATAGAATTATCAGATGTTAGTTTGGAAATCGAAAGGAGATTGTGAGTGAGTGCGGGCACGTGTAATAGATTACGTAGATGAAGCTTACGCGCGTTGTCAGGGAGCGGAAGCAAACCGTGACCGGAGTGTTGAATCGGAGCGGAAGAACCATTGGCGACGGAGATCGAATCAAGACCGGTGTAGACAGATGAGTTCTGTATATTTGAACTATCTGGAGTCAAGTGCGATGAAGCGCCTGTGTCCAAGATCCAGTTCTGGGTTGGATAGGAGGACGGTTGAGCTAACATTGCCCGCGGATTGTGTGTGGTGGTCGGAGCATACTTGAGGTCACAACGATGCCAACAGTTAATGGCAATGTGTCCTTTTTTGCCACAAATTTGGCAAACTGGTCGCACATTACCGCTAGAGGTGGTATTAGTGTTGGACGGTGTTGTATTCGCAGAGGAGTAGTTGTTGTTCTTGATCTTGTTGGGACGTTTGAAATTGCGACCGCACGATTGATTGTTAGGAGCCGCATAGAGAGCGGGAGCGGTGACAAGTTGATCTTTGGCCACATCTTGATTGATGTGTATTTCTTCGTTGCACAAGAGCGAGTAAAGATTATCCAAATCTGCAGGAATCGGAGAAGTACGAATGGAAGTTTTGAACGAGTTGTAGCTAGGAGGAAGACCGTTCAAAATGTATAGAATGATATCCTCCGGATCAACCTTGAACCCGGATGCAGCTATATTATCTACGATGTTCTTGATCTGGGAAATATATTGTTGCATCGTTAGATCCTTCATTTGAACATGATGAAGTTCGTTCTTGAGCTGCATCACTCGAGACCGGCTCGATGGTTGTAAACGACGCTCCAATGTCGTCCAGACTTCATGCGCAGATGTTGTCGTAATGACGTATGGAAGAAGGGATTGCGAAATTGTAGAAAACAGAGCGGACAAGAGAGAACTATCCACCAGAATCCAGGTAGCATGAGCCGAAGTATTGGCTTCAGGCGGAGGGGGAGAAGCGCCGGTGAGATGACCGACGTACCCCGTTGCCGTGAACTGCTGAAGGATTTGAATCCGCCAGATCGCATAATTTTCGGAGGTAAGGGGATGAGGTATCAAGTTCTTTATGTGGGAAATGAGGAACTTGAGAGGTGCTGGGATAGAGATGTCGGTGCCGGTGTTTCCGGCGAGGGAGGAGGAGGGAGGGAGGGAAGCAGTTGAATCTTGATCCCCCATTAGGCTCTTGATACCATGTTAGAAGTGCAGCGATTCTTGAAGAAGGAAGAAGATGAAGATAGCCAACGAAGGCAAGAGGAAGAAACAGAAAATGAAAATCTTATTCAGAGAATAGAGTACACAGTATTTATAAAAGGCTAAGCGGGTAAAATCGTAAAATACAAATATAATACAGGATAAATGAGTAATGCTCTGTCAATAGTTAGGTTCGGGTATTAATAAAATATTATTTTAAATTAAGCATGTCAAAAGCACAGGTAAAACATAGTCAAAAGCACAGGTAAAGCGCAGTCAAAGCGCACTTAAAACGCACCTAAAGCGCAGTCAAAAGCGTAGGTGACGTGGCATGTTTTTATTGGATGTTCGAACCTATTCTGCGCGTCCGGTGACTGGATGCAATAATTTGCCCAACGCCTAACGCTTATTATTTTAATTTTAAAAATTTTTATTTAAATTATAATTAAATTTGCTCAATTTAAAAAAATGATGCGTTGAAGTGCTTAATTTTTATTTATTTTTAATAATGTCAATATGTATTGATTTGATGTAACATTTTTAATGGCCGAATCATTTTTAGAAAGATAGAGTGAAATAAATCAATGAATGGATAAATTAAAAAACATTTCAAAGAAAAAATAATTATAATAAAATTATATATATTATATTTGTTAAAAAATAATATAATATATAATTAATAAATTAAAATTAAAATTACAGCTTTATTTGGGACTGTTTTCTTACTGTTTTATTTTTTTATACTATAATCATAATTTTTCTATGACCTTTATTTTTTTATTGCTTTTAAAAAAATTTTATGTTAAGAAGTTGCTTTCAACAACGACTTTCAAAGAAATTATTTTCTTCATAATAACTTTATAATCAGCTTTATAAAAAATTACATCCGTCCTAAACTTACCATATAAATGAAGCCATGGTTCAACACTTCAACAAATGGAAAAAAACTATTCCTCTATTACATAGCAATAATAGTTTATCATTCTTAAAAAAAATTATAGATATATTAGTGGAGTCGAGTATCCGTCTAATCGGACTAAGCTCCTTTAATTCTTATTGAGCTCAGACTCAACTTATTTGAAAATAATTAAGCTCACATTTGGCTCGATTACTCGAGCTCGTTTGAAAAGCTGGAGCTTAATATGAGGAATGTTTAAAAATGTGTAGCATATATTTTCATATATTATAATGAAATTAATTTTGAGATATATTTTAAATTAAATAAATTAATGACTCGACAAGTTTATGAGTCAAGTTAGGTTGAGCTCAGTATAGATTCCAGCTCAAACTCATGACTAGATAAGCTCGCATGTTGAGCTCATGAATGAATCAAGTTTGAGCTGGCTCGCGAGCCAAGTGATCATACTTACACTCCTAACCTAATACATAATTTATACATAAATTTTTTATATTTATTTATATAATACTCAAATCTCAAAATCATAATTAAAATATCATTAATATTAACTTATTTAAATTAAAATATATATTTTTAATGTATATATTTTGATGTGATTTAACGTTAAAATGATATATAAATAAATACAAATTTTAGATATTAGATATATAAATTTATTAACTATAAAATTTTTAAATATTGGCCCGTATAAATTGATATGGGTTGAAAAAAAAAAACTATAAAATCTAGAATGTTGTTATTTCACCAACCTGCGGCTCCAAAGCTAATAAATATCACCATGCGGTCTAACTCCAAGAAGTAGCTCACCACGTACCCTCTGTCTGGAGAGCACTCGATTCTCCACTTCACCTTACTCACCGCCTTCGTCGCCATCGCCTCCGGCGATGTCCGTCTTTTGCGGTCTGGAATGCGTGGTCTGTCTCGGCTGCTCCCGCTGGGCTTGGAAGCGCCTCACCTACATCGGCGCTTATGACTCCGAATCATGGCCTCCTGCCGTCGCCGAGGACTTCGAACCAGTACCCCGCATATGCCGAATCGTCCTCGCCGTCTACGAGAACGATCTTTCTCACCCCCGCTATGCCCCTCCTGGCGGCTATGGCCTGAACCCTAGCTGGCTCATCAAGCGCGTCGACTACGACCAAACCCAAGGCCGATGCCCGCCCTACATCATCTACACCGATCACGACCACCGAGAGATCATTCTCGCCATCCGTGGTCTTAACCTCGTCCGCGAGAGCGATTACGAGGTTCTCCTCGATAATCGGTTAGGTAGGCAGATGTTCGATGGGGGGTACGTTCACCATGGTTTGCTTAAGGCGGCGACGTTTATTCTGGAGCGCGAATCGAATACGCTTCGGCAGCTGGTTTGTGAGCTGGGGCCGGAGAATAAGCTCGTGTTCGCTGGGCATTCGCTGGGATCCGGCGTGGCCGCGCTGATGACGGTCATTGTGGTTAATCACAGGGACCAGTTTGGAAGTATAGCTAGAAAACAGATTCATTGCTACGCCATCGCGCCGGCGAGATGCATGTCGCTTAATCTCGCCGTGAAGTATGCTGATGTTATCAATTCTATTGTTCTTCAGGTGAGTATTTCTCCTATTTGTTTTTACTGATTGGATTATTGCTTCGTGGGAGGATTGGAGGTAGTGATCGGGTTGAGAAGTGTAGAAATTTCGTGGAAAGAGTGATGTTATTGTTCCCATTCTCGTTGGATTATTATCTTCGTGAAGAGAAGATCTAACCAGTATTCAATACTCAATAAGAATCGGTCCTGTAGTATTAAAGTGGTTATATCAGTTTGTCCATGGAGATTGCTTATAACTAAATTGTGCAATATTGGGGAATTTACTTAATCAGTGAGCTTAGAATTTCGTGACTTGATTGTTAAGGAAAGCAAAGAACATCTTTGTGTTTACGAATTCTTGAGCTCGGTTATAGCTTGCCGGGAATTTAGTTATACTTCTTTCATTTATTTGTCAACGATGCATGGAATATTGATTTTTTATTCTGAACCGGACAATCAACAAATCTCTGGTAAGGGTGAAATTTGAAATTGCTTCGTTTTTGGGTTGAAATTTTAAAAAGTCATCTGTTCTGAAATGACTTCAAAGAAGTGTCACGGCATCCACAAGTTACTAATTTGCCCTTCATTAAAATGGTTCCACCTCAGTCATCTAATTTTTTCCGGCTGTTGAAGCCGATAAATCTACTCTTCAGTTGCACCCAAATGGCCAAAATATGTCTCCAGGATCATTGGATAAATCATACGCCTTTCATCATCCATTTATTCTGAAGGCTTATGCTGGGCTTTCACTTGGGATAGCAAAGTGTATTTCATTTTTTAAGTAGGGTCAAGGAGGATTTTCTCGTGGGAATGGATGATGATGCATGGACTGTGGTCATGTTGGAATGCAACTTCAAGGCGAGCTAATGATTAAGAATTTGAAACGTTGAGTCAATGGCCGATTTAACATGGGAGCACAGTTTCATTTTGTATTTTCCAGGTGTCCTTAGGCCTTTGACTAGTCTAATTATGTTATTCTTTGTAAGAAGAACAGTACTGTATTAACGTATAAAGGCAGAGAGCACAGAGGAAGGAAAACTGAATTCCATTTCAGTGAAGAGAAACCTGTACATATGTATTTACTGTAGCAACTAGGTGTATATATAGATGTAAGTGATGTACAGGTGTAAGGCTAGGATTAAATGAGTTTGTTGTGGTTTAACGATTGGCCTTTGAGCTGTACTGTGCGTGGACGTTCCATTCCCCTGCTATGTTAGAGGTTGAGTATTGAGTTGTTTTTATGCCCCCACAAACTAACAGTGGAGAAGATTGAACTGTTAGTTTGGATCTTAGAAGTTAAAATCTTGGAGTGGATAGTGATTTAGTGAGAATGTTTGCTATTTGATCAATTGTATTGATGGGTGCAAAAGTGATTTCATTTGATTAAATGTGATCCTTGATGAAGTGGAAGTCAACCTCAATGTGTTTTGTGCGAGCATGGAATACCAGGTTGTTGGCGAGAGCAACGGACGAGGTGTTGTCGCAATGAATGATGGTCGGTTGGGTTGGAGCAATGTGGAAGTCGAAGAGAAGACGTCTGAGCCAGATTACTTCAGCCCCCGCTGCTGCTAGGGACCGGTAATCTGCTTCTGTGGACGAGCGGGCAACTGTTTGTTGTTTCTTCATTGTCCATGAGATAAGTGTGTTGCCAAGGTATGCAAAATAGCCTGAGGTTGAGCAACGGGTGATAGGATCGCTGGCAAAGTCGGCGTCGACAAATGCTGTAAAATGTAGACTGGATTTGGATATGGGAAGTCCAAAACCTTTTATGCCTTGGAGGTACCGGAGAAGGCGTTTGAGGAGATGAAAATGTTGGGAGAGAAAGAAGTGCATATGTTGGCACAGTGTGTTCATGATGAAGGCAATATCCAGGCATGTAATGGTGGCATACAACTGGGACCCTGTGAGTTGTCTGTAGGTGGACTATAGGAAAATCGTCAATTACTGGCGGCTTGCCGGCAAACTATTTTCAGGCGGCTTTCCGACGGTCTAATTTTTCAGAAGAATTTTTGGCAGTTTTCCGGCGGTCTTGTTTCCGACGGATTTCAGGCTTCATAGTATTTTTTTCTTAATTAATTTAATTAATTAATAATTTTAGTTTATTTTAATTAATTATTAATTTAATAAACTTAGTCTAATTAATTATTAATATAATAACATATTTAATTAACTATTAACTTAAATATTTTCTTTTTATTAATTTTTAATTATAATTTTAGTATGATATATTTTAAATAAATTATAATAAGAATTCTAACACACTTTCTCTCTCAGCAAAATTGTTGGGACTTAACAAAATGGAGTGGACTTGGTTCGAATCCCGGGCAGGACGTGCAACCGGGCAGTGCTGGCAGGCTAGCGGGCAGAGCGGGAGTTCGGGCGGACAGCTCGGGCAGGGCAGCGGGGAGGGCGGGAGATCGGGCGGGCAGCGGGGAGCTCAGCTCGGGCTGGTGGGCAACCGATCTTTTTTTTATATTAAATTTTAGATATTTTCCGGTGGCCTTTTTCCGTTGGAAAAATTTGCCGCCGAAAAATACCGCTGGAAATATTTTCCTACGCGTGTTTTATCGGCGGAAAATTTGCCGCAGGAAAGCCGTCAAAAATTTACAAAATCGTCGGAAAATGCCATCGGTAATAATTAATTTTCTTGTAGTGGTGGTTGGATCTGAAGAAAGGATATCGGTAGGGATGGTGGTGGGAGGTTTTGTGTAAGATGGATTGGAGATGGGATTGCAATTAGTTAGACCGGCTTGTTGAAGAATACTGTGAATATAAGAGGCTTGAGAAAGATGGAGCTGATTACCGTGAGAGGTAATGTGGATGCCAAGAAAATTGGTAGGGAAGCCAAGATGTTTGATAGAGAAGTGATTCTTGATAGATGAAATGATATTTAGTTGGAATTGTGGATCACTACCCATCAAGAGAATATCGTCTACATAGATTAGAAGGTATGCTTAGATTTGATTTTGGTTAAGAATAAATAGAGATGGGTCAGATTTGCTATTGTGAAAATCAAGAGAGAGAAGATGAGTGGAGAAGGTCTTGAACCATTGACGGGGAGCTTGTTTAAGGCCATAGAGAGATTTTTGAAGTAGGCATACATGGTTAGGAAATTGGGAGTCCTCAAAGCCTTTGGGTTGTTTCATATAGATAGTTTCATTGGGAGAGCAATGTAGGAATGCGTTATTAACATCAAGTTGATGTATTGGCTAGGAGTTAGTAATGGAAAGGGTAAGAAGTACTCGGATTGTAGGGAACTTTTCAATGGGGCTGAAGGTTTCTTTATAATTGAGGCCATATTCTTGACGATGGTCTTGAGCAACAAGTCTGATTTTGTATCTAGCAATTGATCTATTAGCATGTCGTTTGGTCTTGTGAGTCCAACGACAACCAAGGATTAAGGCTTTGGGTGGGGGAGGAACAAGAAGCTAAGTTCCTTGTTGTTGGAGGGCTAGAAATTCACTTACCATGACAGATCGCCAGTGAAAGTGTTGAGAGGCTTCGACATTGGTTGTGGGATCAGAAGGTGTATAAGATAGTTGATGAGTGAGATTGAGGATTTGTTTGGGTTTGAGGGAGCCAATTTTAAAACGAGTGAGCATGGAAGGTATTGTAATGGAGGGGGGTATTGGTGGGGAGGGTGGAGGATTGTCCGTGGGATGAATCTAACAATGGTGAGGGTGATGCTGGAGTTTGAGAGGCATATAGAGTGGTTTTTGACAGTGGATCAGATAGGTGGAGTTTGTAGTTGGTTGGTTGAGGGATCTAGGTAGTATAATATGATGATTGATGTGATGGGGGCCTGGTGTATTGATGGTTTGAGTTTGTTGTGTGGCATAGGGGAAGGTGGATTCGTCAAACGTGACATGGCGAGAGATGTATATACGGTCGGATATGGGTTCGAGACATTTGTAGCCTTTATATGAAGTGGCATGGCCTATAGAGATAGATGGAGGGGATTTAATTGAGAGTTTGTGACGGGCATTTGGTGGGAGTACAGGAAAGAAAGCACATTCGAAAACCCGAAGATGGGAGTATGTGGGGGAATGTTTGTGGAGTAGTTGGTATGGAGATTTGTTCGAGGTGTTAGAGGAGGGCATGAGGTTGATAAGGTATACGACAATGAGTAATGTGTCTAGCCAAAGATGGTATAGTAGGGTAGGCTTGACGTGTGAATTACGGTATGGGTAGTTTCGAGAATGTGCTGATGCTTGCATTCAGCTAGGTCGTTTTGCTCGGAAGTGTATGGAAAGCTTATTTGGTGATTAATGCCATGTAGTTTGAGGTAGTTTTGAAAGTTATGATTTAGGAATTCAGTGCCACCATCATTGCGAATGTGTTTAATAGTAAGGGAGAGTTGTTTTTCCACAGTTGAATGAAAATTTGTAAACACGGAAAACATATGAGATATGTGCATAAGGGGAAATACCCAAGTAAAATGAGTAGAATCATTCACAAACAAAATATAGTATTTGAAACCTTGATTGGAAGAAATTGGGGAGGTCCCCATACATCCATATGTAGTAGTTCTAATGGTTTATAATTATGAGTAGAAGATCTAGCGAAGGGGAGTTTATGACATTTAGAAGCCTTAAATAGAGAGCAAGAAATAGTATAGTTAGGGATTGCTAAATAACGGTTGTGTTTGGAATAAGTTCAAAATAAAATATGCTTAAATATTAATCTGAATAGTAAAATAAATTCAAAATAAAATTATAAATATTTTTAATATTTTATAATTAATTATTAATGAAATAGAAATAAATATTTAATGTTTTTTTAAAACTTAAAATATAATTAAAATAATTAACTAATATAATTTTTAAATTAAAGGAAATTAAATCCTAAAAATTTTGATATATAATATGCATTTTTTGGGTAATAATTATTTAAAGCTATGTTAATTAAAATATGATTAAAATTAATTAAAACTTAATTAAATCCGGCGGCGGTTAGACATGCGGCGACTCCCCATTGGCCGATTTAAAACCGCGGACGCTGTTTGTAATCATTGGCAATGATTGCTCCGCCTCGCAATCATTGACAATGATTGCGGCGGTGCGAGAATCATTGTCGCGGCACTTTACCACATCGGCGCGTGGTCGCGGCCGTCCGATCACCCGCTGTACGGAACGGATGCTGAGATCGTGCCGGACGGGGGAACGAGCCACGCGATCGTGTTTGCGGTTAAACATACGCCGCGGAACAACGAATTCTGAACCGTTGATCGTAAAATCAACTAGATCATACGTAATATGAAGATTACGTACGCCGAACCCTAGAATAGTTTTTTGACTCGTTCTCACGATCAGATCAACCAAATTGAACGAAACTTTAAACCTATGATCTATGCATGAACAGAAACTATGGGGAATACATATCGCGGTCTGAAACGCACTTTACATAAAGCTATATCGTTCTAAGTGTATCTAACTAGGGTTAGGGTTATACCTTAATCCAATGTATATATTCAGTAGATCTTGGGCTCTCTGAATTATAGATTGTCGACGAATAATTCTCCTGTTGAACTCGAGGCTCGAAACGCCCTTGATTAACGGGAATATGCTTTGGAAGTTTTGAGGTCTCGGGTCGCTGGAGATCTCGTCGCCGGCGACTTTGACAGGTGAGATTTGATTGGGGAAAGGTAGAGGGAATGTGTGGGAGCTCAAGTGAAAGATATCTCGGCTTGAGAAAGCTTGTAGAGAGAATATAATGCAAGGTCCTCTCTTTGGAACCCTAAAAAGAGTATTTAAAGGCTCAAGGGCTTAGATCCACGGTTAGGATCGAATCCTCAATGAATTAGGAGGGAAAACAAAGCTATTTGGCTGTGGTTTGAATGAAAGGTGGAAAAGGAATGATTCCAATGCATTAAAATGGTCTAATTTGGCTTTAATAGGTCAAATTGACCTAATTAGGGCTTGGTTTGACCAAGTCAAGATTTGACTTGGTCCACCAAATTAATTAGGTCAAGGAGGATGGGGGCGTGAGCTAAAGAGGGTTTTGAATTGATTTAGAATTTGAATAGACCCATTTGGGCTAATTGAGTCCAAGGGAGGTGAGGATTGAGTGTAAGAAGCCTTGGAATATATTTGAAATCAAGTAGGGAAGGGTTTGGGTCAATTTGGGTCAACTCGGGTTGACCAGGTTGATCTAGGCCACAGGTCTGGGCCCAACAGACTTGATTTGACCCACTGAATTGGATGGGAGGGGTCTTGGAGAAAAATAGGGTCAACATCTATCCATCAAATAAACTATATTAATATGTAGAACTTGGTATGAAGAATCCAATGAACTCAACAGATTCTAAATCTGATAGTTAGATTGATGAGAGCAATTTTTAGAATGTTAGTTATTTAATTTACTGCCATCAGCAAAGGATGATGATAGGTCATCATCTATGAGTTGAAACGTTTGCATCTTTGTGAACAATCATATTTTGCAAATATATTGCAAAATGGAGGCCTTTAAAGATCATAAAACTCAAAGAAGTTTATATCAAGTTGGATGACATGTGCAAAAATGGACACATCTCGCCTTGAGTAAGGATTATGGATGCATTGCTCATAGAGAGCTTACGGGGTGCTACTTCATTCGATTGATGATAGTGGCAGTGATGGTAGCTGCCTCCACTTCATGCAAATTCTTTATTGTGTGTAAGGAAAAGGAGGAGGCTTGGATTGTTCCAGTTTGATTTGGCCTTCAGCATGCTTGAATTCAGTAGTTTTTAGTGTCGTTGGAATACTTATTGGAATACTTATTGATGAGACTGTAATTTTAACTATAAATTTGTATTATTTGGAATCCTCTTGATCTCAAAATAAATTTCGAAGCCTAAATTTATCTTGGTTGGTTTAACTTATTAGATTTGACTTAAATGTTCATGGACACATGCTTTGCCCAAAAATTGTGCTTGATCATATGAAGTTTTTGTATTATATCAGAGAAAATTTTGGAGTTGCATTATTGTCCTTGAAAGTAGACTTACGTGGTTTGAACAGGCATCATCAAATGTAGAAAATGCACTTATTAGATGTATTGGTAAAATTAGTATAAAATGATTAAGAAGGAAAATTATGTAGATTTAAGGTTACATGGATAGAAGTTGTTTATAAGGTTACATGGATCGAAAAATAAATTTAACATCCGGACAACACCCAATATGAATAAATGGAAAATAAGGATTCATAACTTTGATCATAAATAGTTGTGAATTTGTGATAAGGCTAATGATGAATAATTTTATATGAATTCAATAAATTTATTTCTAATAGAATGATGTAAATGCAAGTAATTAGAGAAAATAGGAAATTGTATAGGAGTTAAAATAGAAAATTAATTGAAAGATGGATTTAATTAGTTTGTATTATGAAATATAAATAAAAGGTATATATCATGTTTAGTTCAAAATGAATAGATTTGATTTTCTTTTTAGAATGAAGGGTTGATATTCTTTATTGGTTGAATACTAATCCTCTATTGTATAGGACTGCTGATTTATACTCATGATTAAGTATGGTAAAAGATATTCAAGTTGATTTTCTTTTACTAAAAGTGTTCAATTTTTTTTAATAATTTTTTACTACTCAAATCTATCAAAAATTTTAGTTTTATGCTATGCATGTAAGTTTTATTTGATGTCATCACTCCCACATCACTAATGAATAATTTTCTTAGACCATTTGTTAGAGTTCTAAGTTTGTGTGCTTCATATATGATCAAATAATCTCAAAAGTTTATGTAAAGAAACATTCTAATACTTGTATGGTGTATATTAAGATGGAAAATCTTGATTTTCCAAGAAGATATTGCATGATTAAAAACCAAGTCAAAATCAAATGGTAAGAATACGTATCTTTCTTATTATGAGGGTAATTTAATTGTGCTTTTGATGTGATGATGGCGCTAATTTAAGTATTATTTATGCTAAATGTTGTGATGACTCTAACCTTGGAATTCTCTTAGGATGATTTCCTTCCGAGGACTCCTACTCCATTAGAAAATATTTTTGGATCCATCTTCTGGTGAGTTTTATCTTCTTGAAGCAGCATTTAATTCCAGTTAGAGATAAATCATTATTTTTGTCATTTTTTAAATTACCTTTTAACGCTTTGGTCAGTTTGCCCTGTCTATTATTTTTTGTTTGCATGAAAGACACTTTTATACCAGAAAGAAGAAAGCTTAAAGATCCGAGAAGGCTCTATGCCCCTGGTCGAATGTATCACATTGTTGAGAGAAAATTTTGCAGGTAATCACTCGCCTTCTAGGTTTTGTTTAGATTGAAGATATTCATCTTTTAAATTATGAACAACTTAAAATACTACTGCCATTATACTTTGGGTTATCTGGCCCATTACCCTCCTTCATGTTTTCTATACTTTACATATTTGAAGTCCCATTATCTCTAATGTCCTAATTAACGTTCATGATTTTGCCTCCTTTTTATGTATAGATCCAGATGAACAATGTTGGTTTCATATTAAAATCACCTGATTTGGGAAATGAAATATACCTGGAAGGATAATCCTCCCTATCTTTCTAAAATAGTTGTAGTCTACCTTTTCATTTTTTTCATAAAAGGAAAAAAAAAAGAGTTTGGTAGATAGGTCGCTTCTATTTATCCATATAATATAGTGGCGTGAACAATTTCTAGTCACCTTGTTGATTAATTGTTTCCATTTTAGCTTCAATTACATATAAATAGGATTTTAAAAAGGTTTTTGTACATTTTGGTCCGGAGAAATAAAAAATCTTTTTTTATAGTTGACGCGTCATTAGAAAATTCAACTGATCCTGTATAGATCATAAAATGCTCAATTTTTTTTTATTATGATGTTTCATAAGTGATTTCGGGATCATCTGAATTTTGATTTTAGTAAAATTATAGTTGAAATGAACCAATGACACCTTAAGTGTCTTGATCCAAGTCCAAAAGGACCTAAATCAATCAATTGAAAAATATAGTTAAAAAAAATCATGATATCATTTGCTAGATCAAAAGGTCTATGAATCTTACGTGTTTATACTCGAAGAAAGTATCTCTACAAGCTGAATCAAGTGAGCTCAAGATCATCTAATTCTAATATCATTAAGATATTAAGATATTAAGATGCAGATAGAATATTGTATGAATAAGGGGATCATCACATACCATCCAATGGAGTGTTATGATTTTTGAAGGAGATGACTAGAGTGTATGATGTGAAACCACATGCATGCAAAAGGAGCTTGATAAGAAATTTAAGAACAATTGACAATGTAATCTCAATTAATAGATTATTGTGATAACAAGGCAATTCAATAAAGATTCTTGATTTTCAACTTGCTTAGGCGAAGGAGTACATGTAGATTAACTAATCCTTGTAGATAAACAAAAATAGTAGCAAAGCTAAGAGCTATTAAACAACAATCCACAACTTAATAATGAGAGTTTTCACCTCGGGGATTATTCACTCGACTATACTCGGCTTGGCGAGAGAAGATCTTGCACACTAGAATTGAGATCACCACTAGGAAGATGTCAGAAGCCTTTGTCCACGGGAAAGTAGTCGGAGTTAGTGAGGGTGGCGGATGTCCGATGATAATCCAACGGCTTGGTGGAAGATGCTCCTCGATCGACAATGCAAGTTGATATCGAATGCGGTCGATATAGCCTTCCACGGTCTCGTCGTGTCCAAGTTGCACGTCAAAGAACGGGGATGCGAGGATGTTCGTCCGTCCTTGTTCGTCGAAGAGGAAGCCGTGGTCAATCTCAGGATCGGCCATGCATAGTTGAAGAGAAAGGGGGCAAACGTCGTCTTCTCTTCTCTCGGCCCCAAGTGTTATGAGCATCCAAACTTCACCCCGAGAGGAAAAGGGGAGGGTCGGCCAAGGTTGGGAGAGAGGGGGCGGGTGGATTGGGAGAGGGATGTTAGGCTAGATGAGGGGAAGAAGGGACTTACTCAAATATGAAATTAGTTTCAGATTTTAAGTAAATTTGGAGGGAAGTTAATTAGAATTTGAATTTCAAACCTCATGTGATCAATGCCATAAAGTGGCATTTAATGAGAATTGATCCCAAGCAAGGCCGGCGGCCAAGAGAGAGGAGAGGAGGGGATTAATTCACAAATCTGAAATTAATTTCAGAATTAAGTAAATTAGAGGGAGGGAAATTTGAATTTGAAAATTTTGAATCAAGAGCCTTGAATGCATTAATGGAGCATTAAAGTGAATTTCACCCTCATAGGGCCAGGGAGAGGAGTGATTAGGAAGAGGAATTTCTTTCCAAATGAGTTTGAAACTTATGGGGGGAAAATAATGAGTCATCCAATTAGATTTCGTTTGAATTTTGAATTCGAAAAAAAACTTCCTTATTTGGAAGTTTGCAAATAAGGAAAGTTTTTGAATTTGAACTTTGAATTTCAAAATTCAATAACTCATGCTTTTAATGCGGGACCTCAACCAAGGAGCCATTATGATGATTGACATCTTCATCATGGCTTGGGGCAAGGTGGTGGCCGGCGGTTGGGTGGTGAAAGAGGTGTGGCCGACGGCTAAGGGAGAGGCCGGCGATTGATTCCCTTAGGTTGTCGGCGGGATGAAATTGGGGTTCGAATTGGGAATAGACGGGAGGGGAATTTGGTGTTGGATGAGGATGAAAGAAGCACCGATAGAATGGAAACGAACTTAACCACGAGCCGCGGACTCTTCCAACGACTGGTGGGCCTTGCGATTTGCTCCCCTTGAGCTCTCTTCCCTCTCAAGCACTCATACTAGAAAAGTAGAAACAAAACATAAATCTTCTTTCAAATATTCATTAACCCATTACATAAGAAATGACCATATATATAGGCCTCAAAATGACAAAGGAAACAAAAGACTAAAATGCGCCTTGGGCTACAATAGCGACCAAATACCCATAAGGGTAAAAACGAAAAAACTGAAAAATAAAATAAATTACTACATAACATGACAAAAAAAATAAAACTCCTGATCGTGGCCGTCGATCTCCGGTGTCTCCGATGGCACACGTGTCGAAATCGCTGACAATGTCCTCATCAGTGTACCTCTTGAAAAATTTATAAATAGACCCATCTTCAACACATTTGAGGGGTCCGTGATGAGGCCACAAGAAGGATTGTAGCAGAGAGAATTTGGAGCTACGTCTGTCAGCTCTAGATGCATGTCGGCTCTAGATGCAGTGGATGCATGTCGTTGTCAATAAAGATGCGTGTTGTTTATACCAACATTAATGCTCACCATAAAAACTCATTCAAGAAGGAAATATTGCTTCCTATGGTTGGGAAATGAAAACTTGCCTCATAAATATCAAAAGCCCTATTGAAATTTGAATCCAAAAGCACCTCTAAAGCTCCAATGGTATTTCTCTTCTATTTCATCTTCCCAAGCCTTCATTTCCTTCACTACTCTCTCCATGCTCACATACTTTCAAAAGCACTTGGGATGAAGTTAAGGGTTGCCTAAAACTTCTATTAGAAGCTATGCCGCCTCACTGCTTTTAGAAAATCAAAATGGCCAAGGAAGAAAAGTCTAATAGTATTTTATTCTCCCCTTACATGTTTTGCCAAAAAAAAAAAAAGGAAAAAAACATGCATTATATAATTCGTGTGTTGTACTATAATATGACAAGGATAGCTAGCAAAATGGACGACAACAAACTACTTAATAAAAAATATTTGTATATATTAACCCTGGTCAATCGTACAGGTAATCCAAAATTTGTATTGTTAAATTGTTGCAGCGTAGGAGGAAAAAGTTAGGTTTAACAATGAATGCTAAAATCATGAAGCATAATTATTTCAAGGTCACTTGCATTAGATCACATATTTGAAGAACAATAACATAAGGATCAAGTATGAGACAATGGAAACTTGGATTTTGCTTTTCCTTTTCTACACCCAAGATCTCTCAATTGGCATGTGTATGGCTCCAAAGAAATAAAAAAAAAATCAGCCTTAAACTCGCTCCAATAAAATATGGCCAACCCCTCCAAATCAATCAAGAAATTTCTAAATAACAAGGACCATTCTCCTTCCTTGAATGGTTGGCCAACATCTAGCCTATTTAGAATGTACTTTTCTCTTTGTTTGAAACCACATTCCTTCGATATATCTAATGGCCATCCACCCCTTGCTTAGAAATCAATGTGATTGGCCCAGATTATTTCCAATTATAGCTAAAATTTGCCATACAAGAAAATTACAAGATTTGTAATATTTAAAGGCCTATAAATGCATGGAAATTTAATCATTGTTAATTATTGTTGAATAAAATTTTCTTTGTTGTTTTACAACACTTGAAGATTAATTTGACGACTCTTTTTCTTTGAATTGATTTATAAATCAACCATATTTAAGATTTATGGACCTCAACATATCTTCCAGTCTAGAACATTCACACTGATCAACATTACTACATTTTAGTAGTCTATCATGAAATTCAATCTGAAATCTATGGTTCAGTGGCCTATACGATTAAGGACCATATTAATTGTCTATGAATGATATGTATGATTATGATCATATGGTATGATTTTCTAGAGCAAAAAAATTTTAAGAAAAACATATAAAAGAATGTAGAGAAACTTCGCATGGAGGAAAAACATACGTACAAATGCATAGCCAACATAAAATAAACTTCACCAACATAAGAGAAACATCATTTAAGATAGTAGTTGGTTTACTGTGCTATTCCCACCTTTCAAATTTTTGCCCCTAACGTTTCTAAAATTGAAGTTGCAACACATAACAAATATGGTTACAACTACCTAATTTTATTTTCTTCTTTCATGTTGTCTCTCTTTCATTTTGTGCTTCTATTATACCTCGACATATGGAATTCCTTTTTTCTCATGTTCCTTTACTTAAAGCTGTTATTAGGTTCTTCTCTATATGTCAAATTAGGCTGCGGCACAATCTACCCATTTCTTTATTGATGATATATGTATGACATATTTTTTATCATTATTATGACGTGTCAATTTCCAGCCATAAGTTGTTTTTTTTCCTTTGTATAAATAGTCTCAATTGGCTAATGTATCTTCGTCTCAACACGCACTCTCTTTCAAGTCTACCAAGTTTTGCATATTCACATTCATAGTCTCCAACTAAGAATTTCACTTTTTATCGACAAGCCGTGATACCAACATCCTTTTCTTTCTCCAACCTTAATCCAACTCATCGGTGTTTATGCACTTAGTTTCGTAAGAAAACATCTCAAAAGTTGTGTGATAGCTATGACTATAAATCAATTCCATTAATTGTGGATGGTCATCCCAACTTTTACCAAAGTACAAAATATACAATCACCACCATTCTTTTAAAATTTGTTTATCTCACTCATGTTGCTCGTCCATCTTGGATGGAAAAACTGTACTAAAGATTTATTTAGTATCCATGCCTGCCTTCAATTATTCTCCTCAACCTTGAAATATACCTGCCTTCATAATTATATATAGTTACCTGACTTCTGTTAGTTGCTATCTGATGTTGGAACGGGACTAATCTATCCACCGAATCCATATATTCATTGTTGAATTTTATCCATGCAGATGTGGAAGATTCCCTCCTGAGGTGAAGACTGCAATTCCAGTTGATGGTAGATTCGAGCACGTTGTCCTATCTTGTAATGCAACATCAGATCATGGCCTCGTATGGATAGAACGAGAAGCACAGAAGGCATTAGATGTAAGTTAATTATACAAGTTCAACTATTTTTTGTTGGTCGGTAATTTTTTTATTGTAACTATCAACCCTTGTCAACGTGTTCATTCTATGCCAACGATCAATATCAGTATAGTAAACTGCTTTGGACATCGATCCATACAGTGAAAATTTTCTCTATAACATCATTGACTGAACCGTTCTTGAAAATTTTCCCCTAATTTCATTTGATGTTACCATTCTCATTGATTGGATATTTCAATTTATGTGCTCCATCTTTTAATGACAGGGGGATTTAGGCTTCGTTTGGGACGGCTTTCTTATTGCTTCTTAAAGTAGTTTTTCAATAATTTTTGTACTAGAAAACGCTTTAAGAAGCATGAAGAAAGCCAATTTCAAACGAAGCCTTATATACATACCATAAAATTTTTATATTTTACCATGTTTAACACCTAAATTTTTTTATTTATTTATATTTCACTTTAATATTTAAATCACATCAAAGTATATACATTAAACTATTTCACTTTAATGTTTAAATCACATCAAAGTTAGCTTTGCAGACTTGCAGTCAGCAAGATGCCAGTGAATCAAATAGCCCTGTAATGTTCAACTGTATCTTTTTCAGTTGATGAAGGAAAGTGCTGAGCGTCCAACACCTCCAGCCCAGCAGATTATGAGTAAGAAGCAAAGCCTAAAAAGGGAGCACAGAGATGCATTGGAAAGAGCAGTCAGCCTTAATGTGCCTCATGCAATATCACCAACAGAAGAATCCACTGCAGTGGTGGTGAGCTGCTCACATGCAGAAAACCAGGAGGAAATGGCGACTTCGTCGAAGTCCGGTGGGAAAACCAACTGGGATGAACTGGTTAAGAAGCTCTTCACTCGAAGCCAATCTGGTCACCTAGTCCTTAAGAAAGACATCCATTGATCCGAGTAAGAAATTTTTGCTAGCCTTTACTAGCCTTATATTTGTTAAATTATTCACATGGTTAGTATTTTTAAGAGCTCTCAGTTGGCTTTTTCAACTAGTTCAGTTTTAACAAAATAAGCATTTTTCTTCTTTTGACACCCAAAGAACGAAAGAGTTCGGCATTTCACCGACATTAGAATTCTTAAATATTTATATATTTTAATGGTTTGATAAGTTAAATGATATTTTTAATATGATTTAGATGTTTGTGTACTATATAGATAAATATCAAAATTTAGATGTTAGATGTGTAAATACAAAAAAAAAAAAAAATTAATGGTATATATGTAAAGCTCTTAGAAGTTTTTCAAGATCTGTTTGAAGTGCTTGCTTTTTACAAGGGAAGAGCAGGCTTATATTCTTGCAATTGTCTGCCATGTCCTTCTGTCAAATAAATCACAGAAAGCATTCAAAGCATATCAGATCCGATTATGCTTGTTATAATATTTTCAGTCCTTTTCTAGTTTTTATAATATATGGCTGATGAAGGTGAAGGGAGTTGGACATTTCATTGAGGATTTATTGGGATTTGATGTTCATATTTTGAGTAGCTTTTGCATTGCTTAGTTATTGAGATAGTTTTTTTTTTCTATTGTTGTATTTCGTTTGTTTGCTATCAAAATATAGTGTGATGGTTTAAAATTCAAACTATATTGTTTATCTTTTTCTCATGTGGATTTATAGAGTGATGGAAGAAATGATAACATGTTTTATTGCAATAGGTACACTACTACTAATAGGTGTCTCAAAGGTTGAGTATGTATGAGAAAATTCGACTTTATATGCTTCATACTACGTGTAATTGTTCAAATATGCATGGTGTGTAATTTCTTGAATAAATATGTACAAAAGTTTGTTATGGACGAAAGTATCTCATATTGTATTTGCATACTACTTATTAAAGTCCATAGACTATGGTCATGTGCAGGGGTATTCTTGGAATATTTATAAATGCCTTTTGTCCGCTTACATGAATGTTGCGGATCCGATGGCGTATTGTAGCAGCTTAAATATTGAATTCTTTGTTGCTTTGTACAAGAGATTCGTTAGTGCACTATAATCCACATGTAAAAAGCAATAAATAGTGCACGACAATCTATCTGTACAGCATTACATGTGCGGATCCAGCGATGCCTTTATGAGTGAGGTCCTTTGCATGACTTGAAATGCTCTTCTCCTCACATTCCTTGGGTGATGTGGAAGCTCATCTCCTGAGAGCTCTAGCCACAAATTTCTCTTATCTATCACATATTGTCATCCTGTGATATCCTCCCCGGTGAGCTCCATCCATGACTCCTCCCCTCCTCACTTTTTGTTATGTTGTCGAAACTTGACTCCCAACAAGCTTCTGTCACAAATCTCTTTAATTTACAAATTGCTATTCCATAATGCCTTCATTTGCGAGCTTCATCTATGACTCATCTTCTCCACATATGTTGCAGCAATGCAGCTGATGTCGAAGCCTACCCTAGCAAGTTCCCATTGCAAACTCTTCTCTCTCGTGTTTGTGGATGCCTTCACTCAACATGAATGTTTGCGCCTTTGAATACCTTTGCACAAAATGTTTGAACCTTGGTTAAAATCAAATGTTTGAATCAAGTTCAAACCATGTTCAAACAGTTTTTTGAACTCCAAATAAATATTGCATGATTCTTGTTAATTATTTAAATTATTGAGTTTTTATAATTAATTTAATGTAGATTATTCATGAAGAAGATTGACATAGAACATCAAATACAATTTTTCAGGAAGAGTTTTTATATTAGAATGAAGTCTACTTTTGCAAAGATTTCATCTAGATTTGAATATTCTTCACTTTATTATGAACTTAGGTTTTAATAAGTAGTTCATCTTATGAATAATTTATTTTAATTTGAATATCTTATGTAAGCTAATTATTTATATTTGGAAATGTGGTTAAATTTAAGTAGAATTGATGTAAATTTGGAGTTTTAATTGTTCAATGTTCTATGTTGGATGGAAGTTTACATTTGGCATGCTATGGCAAACATATTAACATCTTATGTAGAGCTTAATTGGATTATATGTGCATTTTTCTTAAGTTTGTTTTTATAAACTTATTAATACAATGAATTTAACATTTTATCTTATAGAAGTTGTTTGTATAAGTTTATAGGAATTCACATATATGTATTCTTTTGATATTTGGGTAGACAATCATTATTTCTATTAGAGAAATATAAGATGTTAAATCTAATAATTATTGGAACTTATGCATGAGTTAGATAAATCACATATCACATATGAGGCACATAAGAGTTTCAATATCATTTAATTTAGAAAGTTAGGTTTCATTTGGAATAGTTTTCCTACTGCTTTTTAAAACAAATTTTTTGTAAAAGAATTTTAAAAAGTTGATTTAAGAAACATTAAGAAAGCTATCCCAAATGAAATCTTAGAAAATTTTATGTGTGTTATATCATTATAGATATCTTACAAATAAATGCGTTTGAAAAAAATGTCTTTTAGGATGCATGATATACATAATAGCTTGATGAGGATATCCACCGGAGATTTTGACGTACTTATCATCGGCGGAATCGTAGATCGACGACTACGATTCATAGTTTCTTTTTATGATGTTTTAGTGCATTTTTTATTATTATTTTTTTCAATTTTCCACTTGTGCCCCTATGAGGGATTTGTGTAATGTTGTAGCCTGAGGGCATTTATGCTTTTTACATTTTGTTCTTTGGAGGCCTATATATGAAGGCTTAGTCTTTGTATTATTTTCTAATGATGATGATGAATGAGAATTCCACTTTCTTGTTAGATCTCTTTGTGCATTTTTGAGAGCAAAAACCCTAGGCGAGGGTGAGAGCAATACTCGTCAATCTTGATGGATTCTTTGGTTCGCGGTTCTTCGTTTTCTTCTCTCTTACTTTTGCACCAATCACGCTCAACCACCCACCGACCACTTCTTCCCGTTGCCCATCCCATCACTAAACCAAGATCCCTTTCCCACACCTACGTTCTCACTTGGCTCCCCCGCCTCACATGCCGGCCACCACCCTTTTAGCCGCCGGCCTCCAAAGCCCCATCCGCCCCTTTCCACAAATCCAAATCACCGTCCCTCCCATGGCTCCCCAAATTTGAATTTCAAATTTCAAATTTCCTTTTATTACCTTCCTAAAATGCACCCTTGCTAATTAGGAAATGATATTTATTTGAATTCAATAAACTTTTGAATTTTAAATACCTTCATATTAATAAAATTCCAATTAGGAAGCTATCCTAATTTTAATCAAATATGAAATTGAAAATCAGATTTGATTTCAATCAAATTAATTCCCTTGGTCCCACATACATTGAATCTAGATATTCTCCCTCCATCCTCCTATGGTCGGCCCCCTTCCCCTTGCTTTTCTCTCTCCAATTAAACCCCAATCTCATTTAATATTCCCCTAACCCCTCCTAAAATTGCCGGCCTCTTCATAAGTTTAATTTGAATATTTTAAATTCAAATTGAGCTTCATCCCTCCCATTAGAAAAATCTGAAATTGAATTCAGCATTTTCTAAGTTAATTCTCCACCACTCAACCAATCCCAATCACCCCACTTCACCTTGCCCAAGTCGCCCCTCTCCTCCACCCAACAACCCTCACCTTCCATTTGTTTTATCTTGGCCGCCCCTTCCCTTAGCGGCTCCTCCAAAGTATATCATCAAGGTACTCCCATGTTCATGGATGGCAGATCCAGAAGTTAATCACGGATTTGCCTACAATTCTCAAAGGAAAATTGATGTATTTTAATCACCCTTCTTCGACCCCGGATTTGGATCCGAAGGCACCGTCGAGGAATACGTTGAACATGTTCTCTTCCATTTGGAGGACGTCATCGACGAACAACGACCTATAGGACAGTGGAAGATCACCCGACGACCACTCGTCTCTCCAACTCCGACCAACATCCTGTGGATCAAATTTGCCAGCATCCTCTGTCTTTCAGTGGCATCACTCGGATTGCTGATATTCCTCCTTCGCTAACCCTACTACCAACGAGCGATTGAGAGGGAAACTCTAAGGTGAAAGATCTCTTTGTTAAGTGACGGATGGTTGTTAATCGCATATTTATTTTTCTATTTCCTTGTTATTATTTCATATTGTCCTGTTAATCTAGCGTGTAACTGCATATTTGAAGCAAGTTGATAACCACGAAACTAAAAGTCTTAACTTAGTGAACATTAATCCTATAATTTCATAACCAAAATAAGCTTATTATTAAAATCTTGCAATTTTGTTGTATGTTTCACATCATCTTAGTATCAGAGCATGGTAGGCATGCATAACATGTACTAGAAGTCACCCTAGGGGGTTTGCCTATCCATAAGTTATAGTATTTCATGCATATCATCATTTAATATATTTTATTTCACTATTATGCTTGCTATCCACTCAATTCCTGCACTCATTTAGTGAACTATAAGTTAGTTTTTTAATTGTTTAGGTGCTGCCCTTAACTTAACAACCTTCCTAACTGCTTAGACTTCTTAAACCACCTTTGTAGCTTGCTGCCCAGTAAATTCTTGCACTCATTTAGTGATCTGTAAGTTAGTTTCTTAGGTGTTTAAGTGCTGTCTCCAACCTAGCAACCTTTCTAATTGCCTACGTCACTTAAGTCCCTCTTGTAGCTTGTTGTCCAGTTGTTTCCTGCACCATATAGCGAGTCATAATGGTGTTTTTCTCCTTGTAGAGTGTATTCCTTTACACCCAATCTTCATTAGGTATCACTTAGCACTTCCCAATGGACCCGATAGGGCTTCAAAAGAAGTTAGATGACATCGTTAGTCTAGTGGGCTCTATAACTAAAACCATGAAGGAGAAACATGTGGACTCTTCCCACTATAGGAATGTGCTCTATTCGGTCAATCATGCTAGTCGGAAGATGCCCCAGTATGCTTATCAACCTAGACCTGAGCATAAGTCACAACAACCTTACTTAAAGTCACATTATTGTCTACCCATCTTTGATGGTTCCTCGGACCCTTACTACTTTAAGGATTGTGTTAGAAAATTAGATGACTATTTTGAATCATGTGATATTCCTAAGTCCCGCCAGGTTAGCATTGCTAAGTCTTGTCTGAACGATAGTGCTCGCCAATTTTGGATGAGGTTGGAAGATCATAAAGAGTCTCGTGGTGAATATCTTACTTATCATTAGAAGGACATGAAATGAGACCTCAATTTAAAATACCCGCCCTCTACTCGTGACCAACCATCGGGTTTTAAGTCACCCCATGTTCATCACATGTTTGATCACTGCATTCTCAAGAATCCTACACGTAAAAGTCAGTCCGACTCACCAGTTACACTCCAATATGATATCGTGGCTCCTAGTCCTCACCAATCAGCAGTTACTCAATTCCCTACCTTTGTGGTTACCCCTAAACCTATTCGACATACCACTCCCACTCACGTAGTGGCCCCAACACGTAGTAATATTCATCTAGAACACCACCCTATCTCTTTTGTTGGGAAAAATTGTGGACATCACTATGGTTGAGACCATCCATCCCTTAGTAACATCAGCGTTGTTGCCCCACCCTATAAGTCTCCACCTATCCTTGGGTCGACTCCTAGCCACCCCCGTCAACCTTGTCTGAACACGCGTTCTCTCTGTGTGGTGGATCCTGATTTACCTCACCTTGTAGATTACTTTACCACCTATCAAATTAGTAAAGATTCTAAGGCTATCCAACCTTTGGTATCCTAATCTTTGACCCTATAAGTGTAATTGTACCCAAAAGAAGCATTGCAAAGGATAAGTTCCCTGAACCTGAGACTGAGTGCATCCATTTTTTAGATACTAATGATATCACTGATAACGAGGACTTCTTTGAGGATGAAACTAAAGAGATTGAATTAGACTCCCTACATAACGTAAACCCTGAGTTAGGAGATTTAGAACCTTTAAACATTGATACCTTAGCCCACCCTTATCCTATTCTCCTCAAGGATATCCCTATGAATAAGGTCTGCTTGGATGATATTAAGTTGATCTTGAAAGAAGTTGATCTGACCTTGAGCACTCTAAAATTAAATTCGAAAGATTATGATTTCCTTATATCTCCTACTAAGTTGGTCTCAAATAATCCTAATTTAATTTTGAATAATTCTGATGGTGATGTCGATACTCTCAAGGAAATCAGAATTTTCTTTAGGAGATTTATATGGAATGTTTAGGAGATGATCTTAAGCATGAAAATGAGATTTTTCCCCAAAAATATTGAGTTGGAAAAATTAGGGCTTTTTCATATTATTGGATTTTTAAGAAGTTTCTTGAGTAATGTTCCAAATGATCATAGGAAGGTTTATAATAGTATAGATTAGGGCTTTTATGCAAAATGCATTTTTTGTAATTTTAATTTATTTTAAATCCGAAAATTAAGTTAATTTAATTTAATTTATGCTTTAGAAATAGGTTGATTTGAGTGATTAGTATTATTATACAATTAGAGAGAGAGAGAGAGCGCTTAGGTTGGTTTAAAAAGAGAAGAAGAATTTTAATTTAGATTTATCTTGTAGATTTTTGAAGGAAAAATTAATGCTCATAGGTGATAGTCATGGACCTTGAAGGAAGGCATTTGAGCGGAGAAATCAAATCAAATCCTTTAAATCGAAGTAAGTACTCCTGCTTTTTTATTACAATAACGATAATTGTTTAACGACAATTGCTTCTCCTAGTTGTGATGCATCAAGCATTGTTTTCTTTTTAATTTCTCATTGTGATTGGTACATGATTTTCCTTATGATAATCAATTGATCATGTTAAATGTTAAACATATAGATGTCAAATTATCTTATGTTATCATTGTTATTGATTTTATATATCATTGGGATATGTTATGGATAAGATATATAAATGATATGGTATAGTATGCTTGTATGTGTATGTTGAATGATAGAGCACACCCCCTTATGGTATTAGCTGGGGATGTTGTATTCGTGCACATTAAAGCAAAATGAAATGGTAAAGAAAATGGAAAAGAGGTACCTTCATTGGTACTGATTTAGATGGTGGTTCTTGTGATGGTTGTATTATATATATTATTTATGAGAAAAGAGAAAGATATGAATATCGATATATTATGGATGTGACTGTTATAATTTTTGTATAAGATTAAAAGTTTATTAATGAAAATTTTATGATTATAGGAAATTGCATTATGTTAAAGAGATAAAAGAAGATTGTGTATATTGTTTTCAAATTTCCTTGGGTTACTATAGTTTAAAGGCATGTTTTACTTACTAAGTTTTGACTTACTGTCAGTGGTTTAAATTTTTGCATGTATAATTATTTTAATCATAATGAGTAGAAGGGATGAAAACGTGTACCGTAGGAGAGGCATGCCAGAAGAAAAGGTAATTATATGAGTCATAATGATTTTATATTTATGTGTTTTGAATTTAATGTTTTAGTGGCTCTTTCAAATGTTATGGTGATACATTTAGAGATTGGATATTTTTTTCTATTGTTCGACCTCCGTTCCTGCCTCTTTTATACGAGCTTATCGGGTTGAGTCATGATATTATCAGTAGTAAGAACTTTATATTCTTTGGGTGATGTTTTATATATGTAGTAATATATAAGTTACTGATGTCCTTTGAGCCATGGACATATTTTAGTTATTTCTATTCTAAGCTTGCAAATATTGATATAGCCTTTCTGAAATTTAATAGTTCTTGGTTTGTCGCCATTGTACCTTCTCCTATAGTGATCTGAGGTTACCACCCAAAAACCTCCATATTTAAATGATACCAATAATTCCTCTTTTTTTCTCCAGTGCTATCATCAGAGACCTGCATTAACAAAGACAAAAAATTCATTTCAAAATGTGATTTCTAATTGCAAAAGTACAAATAAATGTGTAATCAATACTTATGAAAGAGGTTGTGTTCGAACACATTATTATAGAAAAATTGAGAACAACCGATCTACTGAAAACAAACCATTTGAAATCAATTTGTAATTTTTTAGTACTTACACTTATCAAGAATAAGCAATTTCTTTAGTTATATTTGCTGCAGCGAAAAGGTTACGCATTAACTCATACATTCGGCCGATAGCAGGGATTGCAAGCAGACACGATATCACTCCGACGTCGCGAACAGAGGAACCATGGTTCGACCTCAGTAGCAGTCGGGATCTGCTCAAGCGCATGAGAGTTAACAACGAACAGAGAATGCGACGGAGCGCGCGAGAGGGAACACCGAATACACCAAACACGGGAAAGTGAGATTTTGGGGATAACGTCGTGAGCGGGGTTGGGACAGAGTGGTATATTTGATGATAGAATTGTGTTGAGGTGGTAAAAATGAAATTTTAATGTTTAGGATGTTAAATATGTAAAATAAATGTTATAAAGTGGTATGGATGTAAAAATCCTTATTTATTTAACTCATTTCTTCTTTCTAAAATTTTACCATTCAAATATTTAATAATATTACATAAATTTTATTATTTAAATATAATTATTCTATCTTATGTTTAAATATAATATTTATGTTATATTTTTTTGTTTAAACATAATATAATTATTTATACTCCAAAATTATTTTGTCATCCAATTAATATCATACATATAGATTGTAAGTTATTTTTAAAAATATATTCATAAGAATTTAAAATTATTTTAATTTAAAAATTCTAATTTATTAAAAGATAAATTTATTAAGAAAATACAAATTAAACATAACCTTTTAAAAGGCATATTTTTGGGTGTATGCAAGAATATTAAATTATTATAATTAATTAAAACTTATAAAGTTTTACATGTTTTTAGTTTAAATTATTAAATATATTTATTTGAATAATAACTATTAAATATTGTGTTTTTTTAAATTATGTAAATATTTTAAAAATACTAATTTAAATATTTTATTATTATTTAAAATATAAGTTTAAATATTTAGTTTTTTTTATTCTCTCTTTCCCCTGTGATTTCTCTCCTCCCCCTCTCTCTCTCTCTCCGCTGCCATCTTGCTCTCTCTCCACTGTCATCTCTCTCTCTCTGCCTCTCTCACCTCTCTCTCCAAT